GGAACTTTTTTGTAATTTTGGATTTATGGGTTGGATGACTTTTTGGTGGTAATAGGTGTCTTCCTCTACTTGGATCGGGCTGTCAATTTTTTTCTACACTTTTAGGTGTATTTTGTGCAAGAAAATGCATTAAAATCGTCTGCCTAAGAAAAATTAAATTTTTTTGGGTACTTTTTTATAATTTTGGATTTATGGGTTGGATGACTTTTTGGTGGTAATAGGTGTCTTCCTCTACTCGTATTTGGCTGTCAATTTTTTTCTACACTTTTAGGTGTATTTTGTGCAAGAAAATGCATTAAAATCGTCTGCCTAAGAAAATTTAAATTTTTTTGGGAACTTTTTTATAATTTTGGATTTATGGGTTGGATGACTTTTCGGTGGTAATAGGTGTGTTCCTCTACTCGGATCGGGCTGTCAATTTTTTTCTACACTTTTAGGTGTATTTTGTGCAAGAAAATGCATTAAAATCGTCTGCCTAAGAAAAATTAAATTTTTTTGGGTACTTTTTTATAATTTTGGATTTATGGGTTGGATGACTTTTTGGTGGTAATAGGTGTCTTCCTCTACTGGTATTGGGCTGTCAATTTTTTTCTACACTTTTTGGAGTATTTTGTGCAGAATTTGTATTAAAATCGTCTGCCGAAGAAAATTTAAACTTGGGAACTTTTTTATAATTTTGGATTTATGGGTTGGATGACTTTTAGGTGGCAATAGGTGTCTTCCTCTACTCGTATGTGGCTATCAATTTTTTTCTACACTTTTATGTGTATTTTGTGCACGAAAATGCAATAAAATCGTCAGCCTAAGAAAAATTAAATTTTTTTGGGTACTTTTTTATAATTTTGGATTTTTGGGTTGGATGACTTTTAGGTGGTAATAGGTGTGTTCCTCTACTTGGATCGGGCTGTCAATTTTTTTCTACACTTTTATGTGAATTTTGTGCATGAAAATGCAATAAATTCGTCTGCCTAAGAAAAATTAAATTTTTTTGCGAACTTTTTTATAATTTTGGATTTATGAGTTGGATGACTTTTAGGTGGCAATAGGTGTCTTCCTCTACTCGTATGTGGCTATCAATTTTTTTCTACACTTTTATGTGTATTTTGTGCACGAAAATGCAATAAAATCGTCAGCCTAAGAAAAATTAAATTTTTTTGGGTACTTTTTTATAATTTTTGATTTATGGGTTGGATGACTTTTAGGTGGTAATAGGTGTGTTCCTCTACTCGGATCGGGCTGTCAATTTTTTTCTACACTTTTATGTGTATTTTGTGCATGAAAATGCATTAAAATCGTCAGCCTAAAAAAAATTAAATTTTTTTGGGAACTTTTTTGTAATTTTGGATTTATGGGTTGGATGACTTTTAGGTTGTAATAGGTGTCTTCCTCTACTCGGACCAGTCTGTCAATTTTTTTCTACACTTTTAGGTGTATTTTGTGCAAGAAAATGCATTAAAATCGTCTGCCTAAGAAAAATTAAATTTTTTTGGGAACTTTTTTGTAATTTTGGATTTATGGGTTGGATGACTTTTAGGTTGTAATAGGTGTCTTCCTCTACTCGGACCAGGCTGTCAATTTTTTTCTACACTTTTAGGTGTATTTTGTGCAAGAAAATGCATTAAAATCGTCTGCCTAAGAATAATTAAATTTTTTTCAGAACTTTTTTTTAATTTTGGATTTATGGGTTGGATGACTTTTTGGTGGTAATAGGTGTCTTCCTCTACTCGTATTTGGCTGTCAATTTTTTTCTACACTTTTAGGTGTATTTTGTGCAAGAAAATGCAATAAAATCGTCTGCCTAAGAAAATTTAAATTTTTTTGGGAACTTTTTTATAATTTTGGATTTATGGGTTGGATGACTTTTCGGTGGTAATAGGTGTGTTCCTCTACTCGGATCGGGCTGTCAATTTTTTTCTACACTTTTATGTGTATTTTGTGCAAGAAAATGCATTAAAATCGTCTGTCTAAGAAAAATTAAATTTTTTTGGGAACTTTTTTGTAATTTTGGATTTATGGGTTGGATGACTTTTTGGTGGTAATAGGTGTCTTCCTCTACTCGTATTGGGCTGTCAATTTTTTTCTACACTTTTTGGAGTATTTTGTGCAAGAGAATGCAATAAAATCAAATGCCTAAAAAAAAATTAAATTTTTTTGGGAAGTTTTTCATAATTTTGGATTTATGGGTTGGATGACTTTTTGGTGGTAATAGGTGTCTTCCTCTACTTGGATCGGGCTGTCAATTTTTTTCTACACTTTTAGGTGTTTTTTGTGCAAGAAAATGCATTAAAATCGTCTGCCTAAGAAAAATTAAATTTTTTTGGGTACTTTTTTTTAATTTTGGATTTATGGGTTGGATGACTTTTAGGTGGTAATAGGTGTGTTCCTCTACTCGGATCGGACTGTCAATTTTTTTCTACACTTTTATGTGAATTTTGTGCATGAAAATGCAATAAAATCGTCTGCCTAAAAAAAAATTAAATTTTTTTGGGAAGTTTCTCATAATTTTGTATTAATGGGTTCTATGAGTTTTAGCTTGTAATAGGTATCTTCCTCTACTCAGATCGAGCTATCAATTTTTTTCTACACTTTTATGTGTATTTTGTGCACGAAAATGCAATAAAATCGTCTGCCTAAGAAAAATTAAATTTTTTTGGGAACTTTTTTATAATTTTGGATTTATGGGTTTGATAAATTTTAGGATGTAATAGGTGTCTTCCTCTACTCGGACCAGGCTGTCAATTTTTTTCTACACTTTTAGGTGTATTTTGTGCAAGAAAATGCATTAAAATCGTCTGCCTAAGAAAAATTAAATTTTTTTGGGAACTTTTTTGTAATTTTGGATTTATGGGTTGGTTGACTTTTTGGTGGTATTAGGTGTCTTCCTCTACTTGGATCGGGCTGTCAATTTTTTTCTACACTTTTATGTGTATTTTGTGCACGTTAATGCATTAAAATCGTCTGCCTAAGAAAAATTAAATTTTTTTGGGAACTTTTTTATAATTTTGGATTTATGGGTTGGATAACTTTTTGGTGGTAATAGGTGTCTTCCTCTACTCGGATCGGGCTGTCAATTTTTTTCTACACTTTTAGGTGTATTTTGTTCAAGAAAATGCATTAAAATCGTCTGCCTAAGAAAAATTAAATTTTTTTGGTAACTTTTTTATAATTTTGGATTTATGGGTTGGATGACTTTTCGGTGGTAATAGGTGTGTTCCTCTACTCGGATCGGGCTGTCAATTTTTTTCTACACTTTTATGTGTATTTTGTGCAAGAAAATGCATTAAAATCGTCTGTCTAAGAAAAATTAAATTTTTTGGGGAACTTTTTTGTAATTTTGGATTTATGGGTTGGATGACTTTTTGGTGGTAATAGGTGTCTTCCTCTACTCGTATTGAGCTGTCAATTTTTTTCTACACTTTTTGGAGTATTTTGTGCAAAAGAATGCAATAAAATCGTCTGCCTAAAAAAAAATTAAATTTTTTTGGGAAGTTTTTCATAATTTTGGATTTATGGGTTGGATGACTTTTTGGTGGTAATAGGTGTCTTCCTCTACTTGGATCGGGCTGTCAATTTTTTTCTACACTTTTAGGTGTTTTTTGTGCAAGAAAATGCATTAAAATCGTCTGCCTAAGAAAAATTAAATTTTTTTGGGTACTTTTTTTTAATTTTGGATTTATGGGTTGGATGACTTTTAGGTGGTAATAGGTGTCTTCCTCAACTCGTATTTGGCTGTCAATTTTTTTCTACACTTTTAGGTGTATTTTGTGCAAGAGGATGCAATAAAATCGTCTGCCTAAAAAAAAATTAAATTTTTTTGGGAAGTTTTTCATAATTTTGGATTTATGGGTTGGATGACTTTTAGGTGGTAATAGGTGTCTTCCTCTACTCATATTTGGCTGTCAATTTTTTTCTACACTTTTATGTGTATTTTGTGCAAAAAAATGCATTAAAATCGTCTGCCTAAGAAAATTTCAATTTTTTTATCCTAGGGGTTGATTCAAGGTTGGTAGTAAGAGTCTTTATCGTACTTGTATCGGCGTGTCAATTTTTTTCTTAACCATTAGTTGTACTTTGTGCGAGGATTTGCAATAAAATTGTGTGTATAATTAAATTTTAATTTTTTTTTGTAACATGTCAATGTATGGGATTATACTAGGGGTGTTTTTCTAATGAATTTGGGGTTGAACTTAATTTTTTTTGTTAAGTATAATGTTTTTTGTAATTTTTTGATGTGTTTATGCAGTATCTTGGGTTTTAAAATTTCGATGATCGTAATGGATGTGAACTTCAGCAACCTTTGGATTTTTAGAAAAAATGTCTGTTTTTTACATGTACGAGATAATGTATAAAATTAGTCAACGTAAATACTTTGTATTATAAAAACTTTCAATTAACTAACATTTTACTATACATGGTTTGTCTGCAAGATACTAACTTATTATTCTTATTTAGAGACAAAAATTTCCATACAACACAGAGATATGATATTTTCCATCCTTGAATATGTATCTTATTTTCGCCCAGAGAAATGTGTCCACGTATATTTAATGAATATTTAAGAAAGTCATATTAAATAAATTGTATTGATGTTCGTACAGAAGAAATCCCTATATAATTAGAATATTTCTATACTATGTATAGAGAAACATGAAAAGACTATAGATAATAATGGGTTTGTCGTTTAATGACAATTTAAAATTTCCCTCTTTTATCATCATGAAAGGCATTTCTGCTACTGAATATTTAAGAAATTGGCCGGAAACTTAAGTATTGTCTTCGTTTAAAATATCAATCATATAATTATATTTTATTGCTTGCAGATATTAAGTCTCGTACGCGCATATTTAAATTTTTTAAAATGTACATTAGTTATAAATTTTTTTCAAGAGAGTATATTTTTAAAATAACAATTCAAAATATTTGTAAAATATTGTTTAAAAAAGTATTTTTATAGAGAATATTTAAAAGTGAATTTTATTTTCCTCCAGTTTTGATTAAAAATAAAAATTATAATTAGACTTATAGTTAAAATTTAGTCTATTTAAAAAAAATAAGATCAAAATTTCGTAGATATGGCAAATGAAAAATTTGAAGATTACATTTACATTAATAAATTTTATCTAATATTCATTGGGTTATGGCCAATTCAGGACAATGATGCACTTTGGAAAATTTATTTTCATAAATTTCATTTATTTACATTTACTCTCTGCTTTTGGATGTTACTGTTATTACCTGCAATATTAGATATTTACATTGTTTGGGGTAACAGTTATGCCCTTATTCAGAATTTGTTTATGACAATTCACTTACTTTCTTTAAGTCTAAAATTTACTCACGTTGCCATAAATCAGACTGTTTTTAAGGTTCTTACATTGATCAATTTATTGTATTGTATGTCTCAATAATTATTTTTAAAGGAAACGCTGTAATCAATTACCCCTTTTTTGTTACTTCACAGGAATTGTTACAAATGATGAAACATAATTTTGATAATTCATTATGTCATACAGCGTCAGATGAAGAAAAAGAAGTAATGCTTAAATATGCTCGTTTCGGAAGGCTTGTGACAAAAATTTTTCTCTTTTGTATTTATTACTTTGAAATTATGATATTTTGTATGCCTTTAATATTTGGAGCTGATAGTGATCCAGTCCGTAAGAAACGTTATCCAATTCGTGCCTGGTATTATTGGGATCAAAACTCAGATTTCTTTTACGTTATTGCTTACCTTAATCAGGTAACTGGAAGGTTTTTTTCAAGAAGTGAATAGATTAGTAAAAAATATATTTTTTTAATGTACAGGTAATCGTCGGGCTAGGTTTAGGTGTGAGTTATAATTTGGGAATGGATACTTTTGTATTTGTTGCAATTTGGCATTCTTGTGCTCAGTTACGTATTCTACAAGATCAATTAAGAAAAGTAGGCTGTACAGAACATACTTCACAAAAATTAATAGAGGAACTAATTGAAAATCACAATTATCAAATCAGGTTTACATACTTCAATTAATATTTCAATGAATTTGTACAAAACGTAAATTACGTTTTCTAATTTACTGTTTTTTAAAGGAATGTTAAAAAATTAAATCAACTCTTCAGTACACTTTGTTTTTACCAATTGGGAACAAGTTTAATTGGTAATTGTCTTGGAGCATTTCTAATGATTGTTGTAAGTTTTCCAAATCTCAAATAATATCTTATTTAATTATTAATATTTATTTAATTATTATTGCAAATGCAAATTATGTATTTAATAAAATATAGTGTCTTATATTTTTATTATCATAGACTTTAGATGAAACTTCAGTCAATTGGTTTGATTTTATTTCGTATGCTGCTTTTGTAGTCGCAAGTTTTATTCAGATTCTTTTATTCTGTTGGCCGGGCCAAGAACTGATGGATCAGGTACTAAAAAATTTTGAATAGGTAATCTCTATTTTGAAAATTTTTAAGTACTATATTTATTTATTATAGGCCTTAGAAATTGGAATGGCCGCTTATCAATCATTTTGGACTAATTTACCAGTAAAGTCGACGAAAAGTATTTTTATGATAATATTAAGAACACATCATCCTATGATGATTTCAGCAGGAGGATTTTATGATATGACATTACAAAATTTTACAGCAGTAAGTACAAATCTAACTTTTGAATTCGCGATTTTTGATAAAGGTACGATCAATTGTTAATTAAATGAAAAAGATTTTATTTTTTTCTCTTCTTCTAGATTGTCAAAGTAAATATGTCGTTTTTGTCAGTTCTAAGAGCAATGATAACTAAATAGAAAATTAATACATATTGTTCTAATTATGATATCGCAAGTTATTGTTATATTATTATTAAATAAAATTATGCTATTGCAATTTAAACACTATTATACTTTAGTTATGCATTTATATATATATATATATGTTTATAACAATAATTAAAAATTCTTGTAAAAAGAAGAAGAAAAATCTTTTCTTTGTAAATTTCAAATTTTTAGAAAATCAAATTACGATGCTGAAGTACGCAACATTTATGATAAACTATATTTAAATAAATAATATTTTAGAATGAAAAATTTTATAATTTTTTGCCTGAAAAATATTTCTTGTAGTTTTTATTAAGGGTATGTAAAAATTTCCCACGTGACCTAGTATGGGAAAATGTGTTTTGGTAGTATACATCTTACTCTAAAATGAGAAAAGATTTTTATCTAAAATTTTGAGATATGATAGATTTGGGTACAAGGAATCTCGCTGTTCTCTAAAAAATACATAATTTTGCGTTAAATTATTAAAAAATGAAGTTTAAAAAGACCTCCATGAAGTCGGCGTCGACGCTCAGCGTCTAAAAATTATTTTTTACGGGACCAAGAATATCAAATTATTTTTAAAAAAGTTTTGGGTTCGCATAATACCTTGAAAAGTATTTCTCAAGGCATTATTTTGACCAAAAATTAAAAAAAAAAATAATTTAACATTTTTGGTCCTGTGAAAAACAAATTTCGGCGCTGAACGTCGACGCCGCAACTTCATTAAGGTTTAAAAAGTGACACTTTGAAACGAAAATAAAAACATGGCGGCGCATACACAGACGTTGCGTGAGTGTGTCAGTGCTCCAGGAGTCAGCTCCAATTCGAGCAAGTAGCCGTTGAATGAATTATGATAAAATATATTATTTTTATATTATTTATTGTCTTATTTTTATTATTTTTGCGTTAAGTTATAGTAAATGAGTAAAACAGCGAGTTTTCTTCTACCAAACAAAATCATTTCTCCAAATTTTTAACCGGAAATTATTTTTTATTTCAGAGAAAGTTTCAAACCATAAAAAAACGTCCTTTGCCCACATACCCTTAATCAACAAATTATAAACAAATATTTTTTTAGGTAAAAAATTTTATAGTTTTCCGTATTAAATAAAAATTGATTTCTTATTGTTAATCATAAACGTTGCGTACTTCAGTATCGTATCAAATTGAGCTGTAGAACGTAACGTTAAAAAATTAAGGTCATGTGATTGTTGTGAATTACATGACCTTAATATTTCCAAAATGACATATCTTTTAATTTTAAAAAATAAAAAAAAATGTTAATGGTCCTATGTCAAAAAGTGTATTCTCGTAAATTAAAAGCGTAAGTTGTCTAAATAAGTGTCGAAATGCAAGATTTTTTTTTCCAATCATAGTTGCTCGTATAGCTCGGTTGGTTAGGTGTATTGCGTTTGCGTTCGTCGAACCCGTGTTCGATCCCCGGTCCCCCAAATTTATTTTGAAAATTAATTTCGTTATTTAAAGTCTCTAAAAAATTGCTTAATCAAATATGAGTCCCTAAATTTAAGAAATTATTATTTTTTTTCATTTTTAAAAACTAAAATTTCTTAAATCAATTTATTCATTAAACTGATTCAAATTAAAGATATAATTATTTTAATTATATTATTATTATTAATACAATTAATACTTTATGATTAGATAATTTTAAAATCCAGCTATATCTGGACGAACATTTAACGAATATTTTTTTCAAGCTTCAATCAAGGTTCGAGCTGAACCTTTAACGAATATTTAATTTAAAGCTTACACTCAATATTTATTAAATCTTCGGTGCTATGTGAGCATTTATGTCTTTTAAATAAAAAATTAAAAACTTTAAAGGCTGCGCAGTAGTTTTCTTAAGCCTTTACAGCTGCGCAATAATTTTTAGCATGCATAAGTGAAGAATCTTAATAATTATAACTTATTAAAATTTTAAATTTTCTTCAAAAACATTTTTAAACAAATGTTCTTGTACAAGAACATTTTATTATTTTAATTTAAAATTATCTAATAGGTTATGGTAAAAGAAAACACAACATTTAATATTTTTGATATTTGAACATAGAATTTATTTAATCAAATTTTATACAACCTTACAGTACGAAGTCAAAATATAAACTAAACTATATAACTTAACGAAGATTCGATGCTCAGGTAAGAAGAAATAGAGGTATTACAATAGTGCCATAAAAGGCTCATTAAGGCTAGACTGATTGTCGCCTCGAAGGCTAGACTGACAATCGTCATTATATTTCTTTTGAAAATATTTAATTCTTAATATTAAATTTTTAACATTCCCACTCAAAAGAAAAATAAAAAAAAATATTATTTCAATCCAATATTTGATTTTATGTAGGAGAACTTCATCGCTGGTAGTGGCTTCGTGAAGGCATCCGCCAATTGTTCAGCTGTGGAAACATATTTAATTAACACATTTTTCTTTAACACATGGTCACGTGTGAAGTGATATTTTATATCTATGTGTTTTGTTCTCTTATGGTTTATTGGGTTCTTAGCTATGCTTATACAACTATTGTTATCCTCATAAAGCAAGATCGGTTTTGACATATCAATATTTATACTTGATAATAAGCTCTTCAACCATATAGCCTCTTTTACACATTCGAAAAGAGCCATATATTCTGCTTCGGTTGAAGATGCGGCTACAGAGGTTTGTCTTTTTGTGTTCCAGGAAATTGAACAATTTTCAAAAACTTTAAATAAATAACCTGTTGTGCTTTTTCTATCTATTACATCATTTCCCCAATCGGAATCTACATAACCCTCAATTATATTTTTATAATTATCATTTCGTGTATATGTGAGTTTCAGATTTAGGGAACCTTTGATGTAACGTAAAACTCTTTTTAAGCAAGTCCAAAGTTCTTTATTTGATTTATTTTGGAATCTACTTAAAATATTTATAGCTACGCACAGATCTGGACGACTACACAACATTGCATACATGAGGCATCCTATTAAATTTCTACAAGGGGCATTCGTGATCTCATTACTGTTTAATTCTATGTAATTTAATTTATTTTCAAGGGGAGTACTTATACTTTTACAATCATACATATTAAACTTGTTCAAAACCTTTTTCAAGTATAGACTTTGATCTAATGTTATTTCGTTTTTTGTTCTTTGAATTCGAATACCCAAGAAAAACTTTACATCTTCTAGATCGGTCATTTTAAAATTCTCTTTTAAATAATTTTTGAGATTTATCATTGCAACTTTGTCTCTTGTACAAATTAGAAGATCATCAACATAAAGGATAATATATATATTTTTATTTAAGTCTCCCTTATCCAAAAAATATAAGCAAGGATCAACCGTGGAACTGTTAAAACCAATTTTTTTAATCGTTTTATCGAAATGCTCGTACCAACATCTAGAAGATTGTTTCAGGCCATAAATAGCTTTATGCAGTTTGCACACTTTATTTGTATCTGAATTATTCGTATCTGTTTTTATCCCCTCAGGAATTGACATATAGATTTCCTCCTGTAAAACTCCATGTAAAAATGCGGTTTTCACGTCCATGTGGTCGACTAATAAATTAAACTGATTTGAAAAAGCCAGGAGGAATCTAAAAGTTGATATACGCACAACAGGTGCAAAAGTCTCATCATAATCACTGAGATACTTTTGATCAAAACCTCTAGCTACTAACCTTGCTTTATGTTTTGTGGGATTTCCATGTTCGTCAATTTTAATTGTGAAAACCCATTTATTTGTAATAATATTTTTATTACTTGGTTTGTCAACTATTGTCCAAGTTTTATTTAAATTAAGTGAATCAATTTCATCCTTAATGGCTTGTTCCCACTGATTTTTATCTTCTCTTGATTTTATTTCACTAAAAGTGTTCGGTATAGATTCAATGGTTTTTAAACAAAGAAGATTGTTATAAATATCATTATCTATATCGTGATCAAGATCATCAGTGTAATTAGGCCTAGGATAATTTTTTGTTCGATCGCTTCTCCTAAAAACAGGAAGATTTGTTTCGTCTGACAAATTTGATTCACTTAATTCACCTGAATTACTTGATTCTTGCAAATCGGGTTGAATCAATTTTGGTTCAGGATTTATTAAAATATGAGGGTTAGAGTCGATTTTTCTAATTTTTGGTTTTGAAACACTTTCATTATGATCGTTAATAGATCTTGTGTTTTTATAATTAGTTTCATCGATAACTACATCTCGGGCAATTATAAAATTTTCTTTTTCAACATTCCACACCTTATATCCATTTGGAGCGTAACCCATTAGAATCCCTTTAAAAGATTTTTCATCAAATTTATTTCTTTTAGTTTTAATTTGAATATATACAGTCGAACCAAATATTTTTAAGTTTTCCAATTTTGGTTTTTTGTTGTGCCAACATTCATATGGTGTTTTATTTACACTTAGAGCTGTGGTTGGCAAAATATTTGTTAAATATGTTGCTGTTAAAACAGCTTCACCCCAAAAATTTTTTGCCAACCCGGATGTAATTATCATCGTACGCGCTTTTTCAGTTATGGTACGGTTCATCCGTTCAGCTACACCATTTTGTTGAGGTGTATGTGGTACAGTTAAATGGAAAGTAATGCCTTTCTGAATACAATATTTTTTGAAATCATTTGATAGATACTCTCCACCATTGTCACAATATAGATATTCAATTTTACAATTAAAGTGTACTTCGCTTTTTGCTTGAAAATCTTTAAAGGCATTAAAAACTTCGGATTTAAACTCTAATAAATATGTTACTGTATAATGTGTAAACTCATCTATAAAAGTTACAAAATAATTTTTGTTGTCAATGGTGGGAGGTGTAATTGGACCACAAACATCAGAATGAACTATATATAAAGGACGTATTACATGAGATTTATTTTTTGATTTCGAAAAAGGCAAACTGGTTTGTTTTCCAAGTACACAAGGTTCACAAATATTGTTTTCAGGATTAACATTTTCAATGAGATTAACATCTTCTACCATTTTATGATTTTTTAATTTTTGAAAAGATTGTTTATTTGCATGACCTAGACGTTCATGCCAAATCTGGTAGTTATTCGT